TAGCAACTTGGTTTGTTTATTCCTATGTAGACGAATATAGTCGTTACATCTTCATGAAGCAAATAAATTTTGATGTCATGTTATAGGTTGTTTAAGAAAAACGTCACTGATTCTTATATTTTCTAAAAAAAGCTAGCAAGTAGAATACTACTGTATTTTTGTCATTTGACCTTGTAATGAGTAAAAACAACACAAGTCTGTTCTTGTGGGAAGACGTCACATTTCAATGCACTCCAGTCAGACCCGTCTTGATTTTTATGTACATATCATTTCAGAAGTTTATAGAATGGTAGTGAAGCATAATATTAAGAATACAATTGAACATGAAATTCATTTCAGATAAATAAATATGATGTAGTAAAGGAACTGTTCTAATAATAAAATAATATTCGTTTTTTTAACATGATAAAATATTTCATATTCTCTGGAAAAAATAGATTCTTTTGAGAAATGAAACGATGAGCAATTTGATGAGTTACTTGCACAATTTCAGATCTTATTCGCTAAACAGTGCTCAACAATAATAACTGACTTATATAAGAAAACTTTAAAATTGAATTAAGATTGATAAATGTAAAGTCAAAGAAGTTTAATTTATAAGACAGTATAGTGCTCTAAGAACAAATATATTCTTGAACTTCTTATCTTTTGTAATCTTTCATGTTTACAGTTAAAGAAACTAAACGAAAGGTCAAGAAAGCCAAACAAAAGATCATATTTGAAAACCATTTTTCATTCTCTTATGATCTTCAATCAATTCATTCCTTAATCAAAAACATATCTATTTTCATAAAATAATACTATTTATATACTAATATGCTACGCAAATCATTACAGCACTGACTATTGAAAGTTTTTTCTTCGTGCGAAATTGTTTGTTTAATATAACATCGTTTCGTGTATGGGTTTCATCAATCAAAATCATAGCAATGTTTTTCTTTCACATTTCATTGGTCTATTCAAATAAAAAAATCATATTTTGATAAATATTTGTAACATAAAAAAACGTTCTTCCTTCGTAATGATCTTGATTAATCAAGCGTATCAAACAGTATCAGTTTGTTTATGCAAAGAAACGAGTCTACACTATAAGTCGACACAAAATATCTAGATACTTTATCGTTCGATATTACTTTTCAACATGTCGTTTTTCAAATGGCTTAAACCCCGTCGTAAAAAACTTGTTGACTCAACAAATAATCGAGACAATATTGCTGGTGACGATGATGTAAGGCCAGACGAAGTCGAAGAAACAGCAAAATCTAGAGGTCGTGAGGCCGGAAATGAAAGCCAAAATGATGGAAATAAGCTGATTTATTTTGCTTGTCAAGCACCAAAGCAAAGTGTCATCGACAAACTTCGCTCAATTAACAGTTCTGTTGAGGTTAGTTGATTCGTATATAAATCTTTTTAAAGCATCTAAGTAAATAATAATTACAGACATTCACTGTGGAACAAGAATGTATTGATCATATGACACCAATAACTCGAACAGTTTTTCTTGTAATTGATGGTTTACCATCGACGAGTTTTATTGAAGCTATTAAACCATTAAAGCAAATTGATTCAGTATTTTTTTATGCTCCATCACCTGGTTCAATCGATGATATTGACAAAAAAGAACATTCTTATATTATTATTTCATGTGAAAATGAAGAAACCCTTGAAGCTAGTATCACAAAATCTCGCGAAGAACTTGATAAACAAACAACTGCATTTAGTATATATAATAAAAAAGAAAAAGCAACACGAGATCTTTCAAAGGAAGCTGGTTCATTTTTATTTTTTCAAATATTTAAAATTGTATTACAAAATATGCCAAAATCAGATGGAGCAAAAAAAACTATGGTTTCAACATGTCGAAATTATTATCGTGGAAATTTAACTGAATTAAAAAATATTGACGATTTTGATCGAACATATAAATCAGATGACGCTATACCATGGTATACAAAAGAAACATTTGTTTATAAGTAAGTTTATTAAGAGAAAAAAAAATATATTATTTTTTTTATGAATATATTTTTTTAATTTTTTTTTGTAGATTTATTAATAAAGCACTTCGTACAGAAGATATTGATGTTTTATATCAATTTCGTTTTTACATTATGGATCTAAGTGAACAACTTGAAAAAAAATTTGACGAGCTTAGAAAGAAACAAAAAGATATTCTTCGACTTTATCGAGGTTCAAAATTAAGTGCTGATGAAGTAGAAAATTTTCAACAAAGTATTGGAAATTTAATTTCGACAAATGGGTATTTATCAACAAGTAGTGAACGCTCAGTTGCATATGGTTTTGCAACAAAATCTCCTAGAAGAGAAGGTTTTGTACGAGCATTATTTGAATATCAAATTGATTTAAATGATGTTAAAAAAATTGTTATTGCTGATATTCGAGAATTTTCAGCATTTCCCGAAGAAGCCGAAGTTTTAGTTGACATTGGTAAGAAATGTTTATTTTAAATCATTAAAACTAAAATATTTAGAAAACGAAAAACACAAATTAGAATAAAAATTGTTTAGAATATTTTTATATGGAGATCACTTTCTAATTCTAAGGCAGGTTATTAAATGATCAAGTTGAAGATTTGATCTTTTCGTGCAATCTATTACAATATTTCAGTTGAAATGAACATAATATAGTTATTTATTGTGATATTTCACATGTCCTTGTTACAATGTTTGTATAACGTGATTTTTGAAAAATCAAAAAGCAGTTACTAACTTTTGAGAAAAGAAATGTCGTTGAGTGCTTTTCATCTTAGAATTTTTCAGATATTGATTAAGTATAAGTCATTTGATTTCAAATTCAAGTTGAATAATTGCTTGTATAATCTTTTCTTTTCAAACGAATTCTTATTATTTTACCACGATACTAGAATATTTGACAGAGGACATCATAAACTATGTAGTAGTACAATATTACTAACAAATCATCGAATTAAATTTACGAAAGGTTTGCTAGAAAATGTATGAAATAGGCTTTTCAAATTTATATTCTTTCATATAGATGACAATGAATTTATATAGAAAAGTAGCGTCTTTCATGTTTAAGAAGTACTCAACTAATTAAGTTCAGAAGTGTTGTTCCAGACATTTGTGTTTAGTGAAAGGTATTTACTATTATCGTTTCTTTCTACATTGATATCAATATATCCTTCCTGTGTTATCGACTTATCAGTAATTCTTTGCATTCATACCATGATTTATAAATTTTTTTGACAAAGTATTATCGTTAATGAGCTGTCTCAACATCTATGAATAAATATGCTTCTTCTTCTGACTATCACTCAACTAATAGTCGTCATCGTCAGCATCATTATTAGTGAATATTTAGCTTTTAAATCAATCCCTATTTCTTTTGTAACTAATTAAATAAGAACGATAAAATAAGTTCCAATACTATGTACAAGTAAACATTCAAACAAGAAAAATATAAGAAATACGTGACAGTAGTACGAAAAAGAAACAAGATGAGACAAGTGTCATGTATATGTTGTAGTGGAAATTAAAATTCAGTAGAATTTAAAATTCTACTAGTAGAAATTAAAATTTCATTTTCTACTAGTAGAAAATAAAATTTCAATTTCTACTAGTAGAATTTTAATTTTTACTACAACATATATATAAATTAGTCATCACTTCTATTACTAATAGGTGATGCCCTCTAAAATAGCGTTAATTACAATGAGTCTGGCTCTTTATATGATCATAGTCATAATGCATAATAATTACCTTTTATAGTATGAAAAAAAAAGAACAAAAAGAAACATCACAACAAAAAATCCTTTCGTTATATAATCTAATTTAATATCTTACAAAACGAAATTCTTATTTTATTTAATACAGGAGCATCATTTCAAATTGATTCATGTCAATTTAGTCCCGATGAAGATTTATGGCATGTTAAACTTCATGCAACTGATCAAGGTGCTGATATCGCTGCTGAATATATGGCATACCAAAAGAAAAAAACGCTTGAATCAAACATAGTTCTCATGCTTGGTAATTTACTTCTTGAGATGGGTGAATATAGTAAAGCAGAAAGCTATTTTGATACGATTCTTAATTCTGAAAATCCAAATGATGAAGAAGTTGCTTGTATATATTTTAATTTTGGCCGTACACATCGATTAAAAGGTGATTTTAATCGTGCAACTAATTGTTATCAGCGTGCATTGAAACTCCATATGGATGCTCGACCAAAACGTTTAGCTAGTGCAGGAAAAACTTTAAATGGTCTTGGAGTTGTTTATAGTGAACAAGGACGACAAATGCAAGCTGAAGAATGTTTTCAACGTGCTATGAAATTATATGATATAAGTATTCCAAAAAAACATGTTGATGTTGCTGGAACATTAATTAATTTGGGTACCATTGATTGCGATCGACAAGATGTAAAAAAAAACAATTTTCAAATAAAATCATAATTTATTTTTTGTTTTCAATTTAGTATGATAGAGCATTGACGAAGTTTCTAAGAGCAAAAAAAATTTATGATAGTTCTCTTCCACCGGGTCATCCAAATCATGCAATACCAAGAGTTAATCTCGGTAATGTTTATTTAGCCACTGGAGACTATCTTAAAGCTTGTGAAGAATATGAAAGCGCATTGAAATCTCAAGAAGCATCATTACCAAGCGATCATCCAGATATAGCTCGTACATTACATAATCTTGCAGTTGTTCAAACGCATCTAGGGAACATTGAACTAGCAAAACAATATTTACAACGAGCAGAAGAAACAGCTGGTCATACATTATCTTCAAAACATCCAGTTATGTCTTTACTTCATAAAACAAAAGCCGTAATGGCAGAAGAAGTTGAAGGATACGTTTATTCACGACATTAAAAGACAATTTTTATTTTTTTATTTTAAAATTTTATTACTTGATACGTTTCTTTCGTATTTTTGCATAAATATAAACCGTTCGTTTTGAAGTACTCCAAATTTAATATTTGGTTGAATAAAATTCAATTTTTTTTTATACGAGAAAATTAATAAATTATACTTTTAATTACATGTTTATCTTTTAAATGTTTCCATTCATCATCTGCAAATTGAATATCATACAATCTCTTAGAAGAATAAAAAAATTTAAAACATCATTTTCAAATTAAATAAAAAGAAAAACTCAAAAAGAAATTTTACTTCATGAAGTGAAAGACCGGCATCTTGAATTGGTAAAATCCATGCATCATCATTTTCTGATTCATTACGATGTGAATGCCACATATCAAGTGGTGTTGTAAATGCAGCATCTGATTTCCAATCAAAACGTATAGGTGATTGGATTATACCATTTTCATCTAAATCCTCTCCAATCAATGTATAACATTTTCCTTTCGGTGCAAATATTACCAAATCTAATGCTACTGCATTATGTCTTTAATAAAATAAATAAATAATCTTTGTTTTTTGTTTGTTAGATCTCAAAATTATGTATTTACCGATGAGGCTTTTGCATCGAATTCGCAGGTAAAACATTTAATAATGCCCACAATGTTTGTGTTAAAGTTTATTTTTCATGTGTTTTTGAATTTCCAATTAATGTTCCTAATCGATTAGCATGTTCGCTACCTGGCCTTTCTCAAATATTTTCTACTTTAGTTGTTAAAACTTTTTCTCGAAAAATTGTTGTTAAAAAACATTTTTCTGATGGTTTTACTTGACGATATTTAAGTAATGGTCCATCATGTACATAATACAATGCTGTATCATCGTGTGCAAAATGTTCTAACGGTTGTGTTTGATATGGAATAACAAGAAGATCACTTTTTAACCAATTTACTTGTCCTTCATCAAATATATTTGTTGTATTATGATCACGAATTACATATAAACAAAGAGATGTATATGATACAACACCATCTTGTTTAAATAAATCATTTGGACTAATATGCATATAACCCGAAAGAAGATTAGGACAACTAGCTGGATAATCAAGACCCAATGAAGATGATACTAAAAGTTTTCATGAACAACTTGTTTAGTTTTATATTAAAAACTTACAATCAAATGGAATGTCTATTATTAAGTTAGCTTCTTCGTATAATTTAGCAGCATGAGATGTTACTGGTACTGGTTTATGCTATAAGAAAAAAATTAATTATTTTGCTTTGTTTGTTTTTTGGTAAACAAAGATATTTTACATACTGGTAGTCGAACATTTTTACTATATTCATAGAGTTCATTTGAATTTTCAACAATACGTACTTTACTATGAGAACTACTTATATCGGCTATTAGCAAAAAAAAGAAATAAAAGTTAGGTAATTATTGGGTGCAAGCAATGATCCAATGTTGGAAGAAAACTTCGATGCATGGAATAACACTTTTTAAAATCCCTTTGAATCTTTGTTCGTTTTATTCAAAAAATCCTCGACTTATAAAAAAAGTATAAAAAAAACAAAAAACTCTTCTTGACTATAGTATCTAAATCCAGTTACCATTGGGTTTTTCGCCAGAAATTTTTGGACCCGGTAAGCTCTTGTCATGTGCATGTCAGTTTGAGTTCATTTCATACAAGTCTGTCTGGCAATTAAGCCCAAATACTCTTTAGCTTTATTACCAAACAAACTTATATAAAATGAGTTCAAATGACTATTCTGGTGACACACGTTAGTGTTGTCTTACAATAGCTAGAAAGTTCCAGAGGACAGCCTTGATATATCCTTGGAATATGTTGATGTACGAAATCTTTGATTTTTCTCTTTTGTTACTATCAATTGGATATTATGAATAAGTGATGTATGATAGAAACCTATGAAGTTATGTATAACATTGAAAATAAAATTAATCTCAACTACTTGTCAACAAAAACTATTTTTATAATTATAATCAATATCTGACATCTTTCGATAATGTATATTCTTTTATAATATCTAACATTTCGTTGAGATGTTCAAAAAAATAATTGAATAATATTAATTATTTTTAAAATGAATCGAATTTCAGATATTTCTTTGAATTCTTCTCATCCAATCAGTTCTTTTTTGGTATGCTCTGTTCTGTCGATTTTGAGAGACGATGAAGAATAAAAATTTATTATTTTACATCTTATCTTCTATCATATACGAAAAGAAAAAAAAAGAAGGAAAATGCATGGTCAACATGTTCTAATAACCGGTGCTGCTGGTGGTATAGGTTTTGTTATTGCACGTTTATTTCTTGAACAAGGTGCTAATGTTTCTCTACATTATCATCGTACATTTGATACTCTAACTCCATTACTTAATGAATATACTGATCGTTGTTTTGCTCTTTCAGTAAATGCAACTGATGAACAATCTGTAGAAAAAGGTATTGAACAAAGTTGTAATAAGTTTGGTCTTATTAATGTTTGTATTATTAATCATGCTATTTATGTCGAGGAAGAAACTCCAATATGGGAAATGTCACTTGAACAATGGAAAAATACACTTGATGTTAATTTAACATCTTATTTTCTTTATGCACGTGAATGGTGTCGACAATTAAAACGTTTAACATCAACAATGGATACTACTACTTTAAATGCTAATTTAATTTTAATTGGTTCAACAGCGGGTAAATTTGGTGAAGCAAATCATCTTGATTATGCTACAAGTAAAGGTGCACTTCAAACAGGTTTTATAAAATCTTTAAAAAATGAAATTATTCATATAATTCCACATGCAAGATGTAATATAGTTGCACCTGGGTGGACACGTACACCAATGGCCGAAAGTTCCATTGAACAAGGAAGACATTTAAAAGCTTTACGAACAATGCCATTACGAAAAGTAGCTACAACAGAAGATGTTGCTCAAGTTTGTTTATTTTTTGCATCAAATAAAACAGCTGGACATTTAACAGGAAATATTTTAATGGTACATGGTGGTATGGAAGGACGTGTTTTATGGCCAGAAAATTCAGAATAGGTTCTTTTTTTGTCTATTTTTTTATTTTAAAAAATAAAACAAAAGTTTAATAACAATCAATGTGTTTTAAAACTTTTTCTAATCGCTTATAGTAAACATGTAATCACAATCAAATAATTGACAAGTGTTTCCATCTAATAAATGTTCAAAATGTTCAATCCAAACTAATGGTGCACACATATCATTATCAAGTAATGTTTGTAAACGTGTGTAATCAACTTTTAAATGAATTTTCCAATGTTCAATTTGATTTGGTGGAATATTAACTTGTTTATGTGTAGCATATTTCATTGCTAAATCCATCATTTTTGATGAATTTTCAAGTAGATTTGTTCTATCAATATCAAATGATTCAATAAATCTAAGAATAGATGATAAATTAATAAAAAAAATCATTCTTGTTCTGTTGATAATATTTACCGTTGAAATTCGATCATTGTTGGTATAATAATTGTTTTCGGTAATGATCTAGGCAAGAGTGGAATAAGATCAAAAGCACGTGCATTCGGTTTGTTTTCGTACTTTTGATACGGTGCATCGATATGTTCTGAATGAATATTAGATTTTTCTTGATTTAAGCCTTGTTCAAAGAATAAATTGAGAGATTGATCAAGTCTCCATTGAGTTTTTTCTAAAAATTGAATTGCATCATCTCTTTGACAATGCGTTATAGATACAAAATAGGCAATAGAAGCTTCACGATTATGTGCCATTTGAAAAATACTAAATAGTGAAATGATGCTGTAATGAAGTTTGGTGATATATGGATGTCCAACGAAAGATCGACTGGATATTTAGATTATCGAATTATATATCATAGAAAGAAAAGAACGAACAAACAAAAAATATCGATACACTCGTATTTTTATATATTAAAGTTTTGAATTTAGACAACTCTTTAAATTATTAATGTAATGATTACATAAAATATATTCTTATAAAAACGTGATCATATTTAAAGGTTTTCGTTCAAATGTTTGTCTTTTGGCACAACTACCACTGAATGTGTCATTTTTATTGTTTTATATATAATTGCGATCTTGTTCTAAACAAAATGAATCTAAAAGACATCTTTAAAAAATATTAAAATTTTCTCATCCTATTAATTTTCGAAATGTTATTCTCAAATTTCCTCATTCTAATTTTTGAGACACTTTTTATATGTACTGAAACCTTTATCATATTTAAGAATGAAGCTTTAGGTAAATTTTCTATAATATGTTCAATTTATTCATAGTTTATATTTTCTTTTTCAAAATGAATTCGTTGATGAGTTCACTCATATTGCAATTATCAATAGATAAGACACAATTATTATCCTTAAATGATTTTTGCAAATATAAAGAAAAATAAATATGAAATGTTCGCATTAAAGAAACAAATAGTTTATTTTCAATATTTAGAATTTATTAACATAATAATTAATATAATGCAAGAGAAAAAGAAGAACTAACTAGTAAACGATTCAATAAAAGAGTTGATAAAAAATTTAAAAAAATGTTTGCTTTTGATGTCAGTATACGTTTGCATCAAATTTACCAAATGAAATAAAATTAAAGAATTAGTTCAAGTATTATATAAAATTTGAAATAATTATTCAAAGAAATATAGGCGCTGATAATATAAGAAAACATTAGCAACATATCCTCAATAATCGTCAATGAAACATGTCAATATGACATAAATTACTATATATAAGACTACACAAAAATTGTTGTCCATTCAAGATCATGGTAATTGATTCATGTCTTAATATTTGTTCATGCATAACATATGAATAGATTAGAGTAAAACAACTGTTCTATTATATTACTTAATTAAATATAAAAGCTTGAAATTAACTAAATGAAGAACAGGAACACGAAACGAAAAGCGAATCTAATTAATTTATGAAACAGGAATAAAAATTTAGAGTAAAGTACATGTTCAGTTAACGCTTGAGAAGTGAATAACTTAGATCAAAATTTTATTTATTTATTTTTGGTTGATAAGAAACACGACTTTGAACTTCAAGCACACGCATTGAATTCTCAGAATATCAAAGACGTCGAAATACGTTATATACATCATATAGAAATATGCATTTTTCTCCTACTATACAGTTCATTTGTTTGAAAGTTAAACATACAGGTCTCTTCTGAAAAAAATCATAAATACATAAATAATAAGTTATATATTCTAAAATCTTGAATTTTTAATCATCGTTGACAAGCTAAAACTAGAATCCTTCCAAAGAAACAAATCCGAACATTGAAAAAGTTTGAATATTCAACTATAATGATTAGACGATAAATATTTTATTTGTGTTTGTTCTAAATTCTATGCAGCTACCAAGAAATAATATAAGAGACTCTAAGGTTTTAACTATACAATGGAATATATCGAGGTTTGTAGACAAAGACCTTATTTATCTAATGGTATATATTATCTGTCTCTACTACATACTATTGACATGGCAATAGTGCACAGTAGAACTTGATAATTCATACGCTATTAAATCGAGGAAGTCTTTCTCAAGAAGACTACATAGATTCCTTGTCTACAGTTAAAGCCATGGAAAAAACTTATCGTCAACCTTATAGATTACCATTGTCATTGAGAATATGTCAAAGCTGAGTACATGAATATATAAACAACGTTTCTCTATATTGATATTGATTGTTCTCAGATGTCTGTACAAATATCCTGTAGTGACACGTTTACGTTGTCAATGAACAGACTTTCATCCCATAATGACAATGTATTTTTCAAGCAGTAGAAATAGTTATTGACTTAACTATGATAGAATGGTTTATAATTCATAAGAACTTATCATTTAGATAAATGATGTCACGATATTCATAAGTCATTGATTATCCGTTTTTATATTATTCAAGTCAAAAGTTAAATTGAATTGAGTTGCCCTCGTTTGAGTTTGGATTCAGTCTTTGATTCAGATAATTTTATAATTAGATCAAAGACACAAAGCAATAAACAACTTATGAACATATACAATAACAATGACTCTCCTCATAATATTACTTATTCATTTAACCACTGAATGTCATCATAATCCAAAAAATCAGTTACCATTTTTAATATGTCACTTGTTCAACAATGCAACTCCTCTTAAATGTGATATTTGAAGTTGATTTCTTAATTAAGGCAAATAAATAAATTATAGATAGACCACAACTACTATTAGATCCCTAATTAAGATGAACATGAACTAAAGCATCAATCGAATATCTTTTCTTTGCTCAAGTTTTCGTACGATAATGTAGTATCAAGTTTTGAGGACTTTTATGATTTAAAAGATACATGTCATTATCTAAGTTTCTTGTTCATTGTTTTTCTAGCCACGTATATGTAATACACATATTCTTGATAATATTTTTCATAGTTATTTAATAGCTTATTTGTATCATATCTGAGACATTGTCTA